AACCCAGGGGGTTCTAAACTGCCTACGAATGCCTAAGAATTACTTAGCTATCACGAATTTAAGTAATACGTGTATGCTAATTATTATGACAGATAGAAAATTGTGTAGTCAGAATCCATATTTTATGGGTCCTTGATACCGAAAAACCAATTGACGGCAAAACGTCTGTCTGCCTGTCCGTCCGCGGTCAACGATAGCACCTAAACCATTCAGGCAAGTTTTGCAGTGTGACTCACCGATCGATCCAAATGAACTCGAAACTCTCTGAGTTTGAAACGAATATTTTAATTTTGGAAGGTACTTTATGTGAAGTCTCCACAACGTTTTATAACTTTTCTTAAATCTGACTCCAAATTAATTGTTTAAAATTTTCCACGGATAAAACAAATGAACGCTGAAAGAATGACTGAAATATTTTAGTTCAACTCACTGTATTATCGTAAATTCTCAAATTTACAAATAATGCAATAAATTATGTGCTGTTGTAGCACTAATACTTTATTTCACTATTCTTCCTGCGAAATATGAAGACTCGTGTTGATAGTAGTTTATATGTGGATGATTAAAACACTTATATTGTAATAATTCGTATTTGATATTAGACTGATCTCAGTTTCTGAATGCTTCCAGATTTTAAATAATCAAAGAAGATAAAAATATACAAACAATGATGTGACACCCATAAAATGGCCAAATTTTTAATAAACGCGACCACTTCGTGTTTCTCGTAGCGTTTACCTCAACAGATGTATAGGGAACCAAATTGCCAGCGGCATCTGCACCAGCCTTGTTCAATGCGCAAATGGCGCAGGATATATACGAGCAGGGAAGCGCCAATATCACATTTTTATCGTCATATTTCGCCGTCTACTCGCATTCTTTCTTCCTATTTTGTACTGCAACGTTGATGTCAATTTATACGAGCAAACACATTTGCTGTGGGTGCTTATATTTTTTGTGACGAAGAAATATTATTCTCAGACTCTAAAATTCCATTTCCTTCTCTTATTTATTGACAGTACAAAGAGAGAAGATGAAACGGCAAGCATACATATGTTTCCAGTAGGTATATGACTCGTTTTAAACGAGATCGTTTAGTGTCATTGATCCAAATTAAAACTTCTCTCTTTAAGGGTAACAACAGTGCAGTGATAAACTAAGAGCAATAACAACGGAGTTCCCTCTTTTACACTTCGTTGTTTGCATGTTACATTTTACGTACTAAACATGCTATAATTAAATACCTATGATGAACATCCGTGAAGCGAAAGAGGAACAAAGTCATTAGCATCTCTTTGTCTTTGACCGCAGCGTAAAGACCGATTTTGTAAGTAAGTAATTAATTAACAAACTCTCGGGCGCTCCACATTAATTCCCCAGGTTTGGCAGAAAAGCTATAAGCTATGCACGTGCCATCAAGTTTTACGCTTTCAATATCTACGTGGCGTGTGCGTGGTGTGATTGGGTATCGGTGTGTGTGTGTGTGTGTGTGTGTGAAAGAGATAATACAGATGAGTGCATAAGTGAGTCAGAGTGAATGAATGTGAGCGATTTGCAGAGGATGCGGGCACTTGGGAGCTGATTCGAGAGGGAGGTAAGAGGGACAAGAGGCGAAATCAATAGGTGTACTCGTGTGGAGACGAGTGTGAGCGAGTGAGAGGGACTGAGCGAAATCGAGTGTAATCAAGCGAGTGTGAATGGATTTAAGCGTCAGCGGAGCAAGTGTGGGTTCTGGGTGCGAGCGGATGCGAGTGCTTATGAACGGATGTGAGTGAGTTGTAGAGTATGTGAGCACGTGAGAGCGGATTCGAGAGGGGGGGGGGCTAGAACGGGCATGAAGCGAAATGAGCAGGTGTACCTATGTGGAAGAGAGTATGAGCGAGAGAGAGGTAGTGAACCAGTGTGTCGAATTGTGTGTAATCAAGCGAATATGAATGGAATTAAGGGCCAGCGAGCGAGTGTGAGAGGGTGTGAGTGGGTGTGGGTGGGTGTGGGTGGGTGTGGGGTGGGTGGGTGTGGGTGGGTGTGGGTGGGCTGAGGGTGGGTGTGAGTGGTGTGAGTGGGTGTGAGCGGGTGTGAGCGGGTTGTGAGTGGGTGTGAGCGAGCTTGTGAGGGGTGTGGGTGAGTGTGAGTGGGTGTGGAGCGAGTGTGAAGGGCTGTGGGTGGGTGTTAGTGAGTGGAGTAGGTGTGAGCGGTGTGAGTGGGGTGTGAGTGGGTGGTGAGTGGGTGTGAGTTGGGTGTGAGTGGTGTTGAGCGGGTGTGAGCGGGTGTGAGTGGATGTGAGCGGTGGTGAGTGGGTGTGAGTGGGTGTGAGTAGGTGTGAGTGGGAGAGAGTGGAAGTGAGAAACATTGTGAAACGGAGGTGAAGTAAAAAGTAAAGGACAAGGCACAGGTGAGCGGAGCGGATTCGAGCTGATTGATTAGTGACTCCGGTGAGTCAACTAAGCAGGTGTTTTTAGTCCCGTAAGTGTAGTGCAATGTTTTCCTTCTCTAGAAGCGGCGGGTGATCTTTTTCCGCTGGAACGGTCGAGATCCGGCTTCCGTGAAGAGATCTTCCGTCGGATAGCGGGGTTTTCTCCAGGCAGGTATCTCCTCCAAGCAGGGCAAACGCCCCGGTCAGGTCAAGCTCTAATGCTCCCTGCTAGTGTGGTAGTGGTAGTCGGATGTTAAATGCAAATGTTAAGTGGATGTAAGTAAAAAGATGAGAATCAAGAACAGGAAAAGAGGAAGGAAAGGTCGCGAGGCCATTGCTGTTTATTAGCGATACTGCTCCGATACTTCGCCGGGTGGTAATCCGAAGAACCATGAAACACTACCAATCAGGGCTAGAGCAGCTAAGAATCTGGCTTCCAGACAGGCGACTGAATTCAACCGAAGTTATTGTCTAGACTTGAACCTAAATCTCTGGTCAGCGGCATGGCAGTGACATCGTCTGAAGTCCTTGAGCAGAAGCATGATGAACAGGTCAAGGAGTGCAAGAATGTACAGCGGCTGTGAATGGTATCGATTCGGTGTAAACAAGCTATGTATGAATGGATTTAAGCGAGTGTGAGCGACGACCTGATCATGTCCTACTCATGATGTCAACGCGTTTGAACGATTGTGGAGCATTTGTAGTAATATATCGATGCGCTGTTGAGATATCGAGGGGTAAAAAAAGAGCGTGAAATTTAATGAACATGTGAAAACGCATGCAATCAGTTGTTCCGAAGATATCTAGAGCCGGGGGTTTTATTTTCAAAAAAATTCCTTTATATGTAAGAATACACTCCTATTCAATTTTTGGCGAAAATATCGGGAAATTCTATCACAAATTAATAATATCCATATGCAATTTTAATTAGGAAAACATAATCCAGCATGAAATTGACTCAAATAGCAAATTATGCAGCAACTCTTGACATCTCCTAAATTTCTCTCTTCTATACGGAGTTGGTCGTCCGTATACGTAAGACGTGATTGGGTGTTGGGTCATAAGAAAGGCGCACCCTGGAAAAATTTCTAGATATGAATAGCGAAGAAAAGCGATAAATTTACCTATAGAAGTAACGCAACAAAAAATCATGGGAACTCTAGAAACGAGAAGAAAAGGGCGAGCTTGCGCTCTTTATAATGTACGTGAGGTCAACGCGCTTGGGAAGGAAAATTCAGTAGATTAGAAAAAACCAATTATTTCGGCCGAAGCGATCACACGCACAAAATTCCGAGAGCAACAAATTCAGATCTTGGGAAGTTTTCTTTTGTAAAGAAACAATTAGAGATTGGAACAGTTTTACCTGCCGCAGTTCTCAAGATTTCCTCTCAGTGTCGAGTTTTTAGAAACAATTAAAAAAATTATATTAAATAAGTATGTGCTGTTGTAGTGCGTGAAAGTGCTGGTGAAGTGCTGTCAGGGTGTATTCAAAGGTTAATCCAAGCAAAAACAATGTAGTTGTAGTGTCGTGAAGTGGAAGTGAAGTGCGGTGAACGTAATCAATGCTCTTTTCAATGCTGCTTTTCGTCTTGTACTGTATTGCACGGTATTATTATTATTATTGTTATTGTTATTGTTATTATCATTATTATTATTATTAATGTAAGTGTTGTAATTTTTGCAATTAATGCCATTAACTGCCACCGGATCATACCCGATTGCAGTTCTAATAAATGTATGTATGTATGTATATCATTTCAAATTACTTTTTTCTCCTACTAACACTCCTAATATTGCGTCATGATGCAAGAAATTGTTATATATACGCACACAAATATAAATAAATCTTTTAACAACATCGTTCATCATCTGCTGCTAAGGGCCAAACAGGCCAAAGGCAATTTATATATTCAATAAAAACAGAAAAATCTGGTATGAGCGGGTGCGATCGGGTTCAAACAAGCTAGTATGACTGAATTTAAGCGCGCTCGAGTGACTGTGACCGCGTGCGAGCGGATCTTCGCGCGTGTAAATGGACGTGAGCGAAATCGAGTGGATGTGAGCGCACGAGAACGGAAGTAAGAGCGGATACGAACGAGCGGATATGAACAAGCGTAAACCGCGTGTGAAAGCAGATACGAGCAGGCGCAATCGGATGTAAAGCAGCGAGCGCGAGTGGCGCAAGTAGAGTGAGCGGTAGCGAATGGACGTGAGCGGGTGCGAGTGAACGTGAGCGGATGCGAGTTGGCATGAGAGAGTGCGAGGGGATGTTAGCGGGTGCGAGTGGACATGAGTGGACGTGAGCGAGCGCGAGTGGACATGAGGGGGTGCGAGTGGACGTGAGCGGTTGCGAGTGGACATGAGCAGGTGCGGGTGGACGTGAGCGGGTGCGAGTGGACGTGAGCGGGTGCGAGGGGGCATGAGAGGGTGCGAGGGGATGTTAGCGGATGGGAGGGGATGTTAGCGGGTGCGAGTGAACATGAGTGGACGTGAGCGAGCGCGAGTGGATATGAGCGGGTGCGAGTGGACATGAGCAGGTGCGAGTGGACGTGAGCGGGCGCATGTGGCTTGCAGGTGCGTTGCTCACCTGAGCGGGTTGAGGATAGCGCGGTGGCGGTCCACTGCGATGGCGGTGAGCGTGAAGATGCTCACGTTCACGCTCAGCACTTGCACGAAGGGGCAGAAGGCGCACATGAAGTGCGGAAGGTTCCAGCGCTGCAGCAGCGCCGCCTGGAACTGCGCCCACCCACACGCTCACAGCACAACAGCAAACACAACAACAACAACCATAATAATAATAATAATAATAATAATAATAATAATAATAATAATAATAATAAGACGAAGAAGAAGAAGAAGAATGCTGGATCTGAAGCGCAGATGGTTACGATAGCAATCTTCTGCGTCGAGGAGGCTGCAGGTTCGAGTCCTGCGTAGGCATAGTTGTATTTGTGATTGTCTCTTCACCCTTCGTTATCATCTTATAACCTCATTATTCATACTTCAACGCGTAGCAACAGTGTATTATCAAGGGATACAGCCGAAAAATCTGATCCCCATAATTACGTACCTAATCTCCCATGGGCCTTGGAAGATAACGTGTAGCGTAGTCATAATTGACCGATACGTTAAATAATAATAATAATAAAAATAATAAAAATAAAAATAACAACAATAGTATATTCATCTGGTCATTTATTGGACGAAGTATACCATTCATTTACAAAAAAAAAATCATAGAAAATTAGAACTTATTAAAATACCTAAAGATACCTTCAATATTATGCAAAATCTGTTGTCTTGCACACATTCAGGATTATAAGTAAATTTTTAACGTGCGACAAAACATGACCTGCGTCTTTGTTACTAAGTTAACACAAAGACAACTAGAAATCTTACGAATGCGAAGAAAAACAATTTGATACGTATACTCATGATGGAAATAGTATTTATTTACACCATGCTTATACTCATAATATTTCTGTAATAATATCTCATTAGTACGTGAATAGCTATGGCCAATGTCGAGCTCATTTTTCTTGTTAATAAGAGCGAATGAGTATTTCGGGTTAACGTGCGTGAACTACTTTGACAAGTCTCGTGAGTGCAGTGCATATGATAGTCGAGTCGTGAGGATCTTGCTGCTCTGCTGGAATGTAAGATCCAGCACCGAGCTAACGTTGTTTGTTTGTTTGTGGCACTAGCAATAGCTTGGAGTTGATTGAAAAACGAGAAACGAACAAAAGTAGTCGGCTAATAGAATTATACTCCACGTTTCGTCTGAATTCTATTCTGATTAAGAATTTGCATTTATGCTAAATCGAAAAGTAATATGTATGTGAGAATTTATAATTAACCAGCGGAGCTGACAATGCTTCGCTATTGCAGAGTATTAAATAAATACAATTCAAGTTCAAAATCAATTTGTTCAACAAAGATCAACAAAATGTTCACTACACTTTAACTACGTATTTACTTACACCGTACTACAGTGCAGAACAATTAAAAAAAATAACATCGAATACAGGTGTTCACCGCCACTATTTGGTTCAGACTCCTTCCGTTCTAGATGACAATTTCTATGTTATTCGACATTATGAGTCGAAGCGAGGCGTTTAGTTGAAAAACATATCCATAGATTACCTTCAAGCAATGCCCTCTGAGAAGAGCGTAGATCTCACCTTGTCAATTAACTTTGAAAAAAAATACTGAAAAAAAACGCCTCTACACGTTCGGTTACTGCGCTATACTACTCTAGCTACAATCGCTGGATGGAGAAAACTATACCTCCATTCCATGTTTATAAAAGCACAAGAGGCCGGCTGTAGTGAGAGTGCTCCTACAGAAAATGTAATTTTCATGACATATATCAATTTCTGTCTTTCTTCAATGATTACAATTTCAGATAGAATTGGAAAGGTGTAAATAATAATTATAAAAATAATAAGATAGTAATTATATTTAAACAGATACCTTATATTATTATTATTATTATTATTATTATTATTATTATTATTATTATTATTAATTATTGTGTCATTATTAAAGAGGTGCCCGTATATTCAACAAGTATCTTAGAGCATTTTTACTACAAATGTCAGATGAAACAATCTTTTCACTAGAGGGTGGGTTCATGCGGGCGTAAAAATATAAATGCATCTATGTATTCTCCACAGTACGATGCACACGCATAATATTCACTATTAGTTATGGTTATATGTATTTTGATTTGCCTCCGAAAGTAATGCATATGCAACATCAATTTACTATCACAGTGAATGGTAATTACTCTGGAATTTTTCAAGTCACGTCCAAATATCTTGTTTAGAAGATTTTGCCGTTTGTGCCAAAAGCAAGTCACATAACATATGCCAACTTCACCGACTGCATGTTTCACAAATGCCGTAAAACAAAGCACGCGGCTGAAATCGGAAAGCAAAACGCGTGGTCGACCATCGGAAGAGAGAACAGCCCCGAGATATGCAAATTCCTTTCCAGCAAACACCTCCAAAATGCATTCAGCGCACACAGGAGGACTTCCGAGTTCGTTTCTCGCTTTGCATTGCGAAGGCGCTTTTGTTGCCTGAATCAAATTTCTCGACGACTTAGGGTTGGGTTGGGGGGGGGGGAGGAGATAAAGCGTCTTGGAATTGAGCGAAGCGGCTCACATGAAAGTGGGGCTGACACACGCAATCCGTCCGCCCCTCTCCCTCACTCGCGCACCGCTTAGCGTCTGGTGCCCAGGGCCCCCCTCCCGCGCTCCACATCTCCCGCCCCCACCCAGCGTTTCGGCTCCCCCTCTTGGCGCACTGCTCTCTGCTTCCGGCACAAAGCCTTCTGCCCCACGAATCCAGCGCCCTGCTCTACGCCTCCTGCGCTGCATTACCCGCTCCCACCTCCCGCTTCCCACTTCCCGCTTCCCGCTTTACCCTTCCCGCTTTCCCCTTCCCGCTTCCAGCTTCCCACTTCCAGCTTCCCACTTCCAGCTTCCCACTTCCAGCTTCCCACTTCCAGCTTCTCTCTCTCCGGCTCTCCACATTCCACTTCCCACATTGCGCACCCTGCACCCCGCTTCCCGCGGTTCGTCTCCGGTTCCCCACATCCGTGCTCTGCCTTGCACTTCCCACTCCCCGCTTCCCGCTCTCGGCATCCCGTTTCTCTCATCTCGAGTCGTGCTCCCCGCTTCCCTCTTCTCCCCCTCTCCACGATACATCCCTGCTCCCAATAGGCGTGTCCTGCTCTCCACTTCCCACTCTCCAATTCCCACCCCCGCTTGACTCTCTTCTTCCCCTTCGTGATCCCTGCCCGCTTGCCGTTCCTCTCCCGCTTCCCACTTCACTCGTGCTCTTGTCAACCTTCCCGCAGCCCTCCCGCTTTCCGCCCCTCCCGCTTCCCATTCCCCTCCCGGTCCCCTTTCGCTTCTCGCTCCCCTCTCACTTCCCGCTCCCTTCCCGCTTCCCGCTCCTCGCTTCCCGCTCTCTTCCCACTCTCTTCCCACTCTCTTCCCGCACCCTCCCGCTTTCCGCCCCTCCCGCTTCCCATTCCCCTCCCGGTCCCCTTCCGCTTCTCGCTCCCCTCTCGCTTCCCGCTCTCTTCCCGCTTCTCGGTCTCTTCCCGCTTCTCGCTTCCCGCTCCTCGCTTCCCACTCCCCTCCCGCTTCCCGGTCCCCTTCCACTTCTCGCTTCCCGCTCCCCTCCCGTTTCTCACTCCCCTCCCACTTCCCACTTTCCTCCCGCTTCCAGGTTCCCTACTGCTTTCCGCTTCCCTCCCGCTTCTCGCTCCCCTCTCACTTCCCGCTCTCTTCCCGCTTCCCGCTCTCTTCCCACTCTCTTGCCACTCTCTTGCCACTCTCTTCCCGCCCCTCCCGCTTCCCATTCCCCTCCCGGTCCCCTTCCGCTTCTCGCTCCCCTCTCGCTCCTCGCTTCCCGCTCTCTTCCCACTCTCTTCCCACTCTCTTGCCACTCTCTTCCCGCACCCTCCCGCTTCCCGCTCCCCTCCAGCTTCCTACTGCTTCACGCTCCCCGCGCTCCCTCTTCTACTCCCCCCGTCCGTGCCCTGCTCTCCACTTTCCGCTGCCCGCCTCGCCGCATCCCGTCTCCCTCATCCCGCCGTCCTCTCCCTCATGCTGCGCTCTCCCACAGGCTTTGTGTGATTGCTGCCCCCCGCTCCCCTCTGCACGGCTTACCCGCGACGCGCGCGTGGTTGCCCGTGCCGTGCCTGCGCAGGATTCCCGGAATCGAGATGATGGAAGATTGAAGCCTGGCTTTTGCATCCGACAAAAATCACATATTTCGCAGAAGCGGACGATTTTTCCATCTAAAAGTTGAGCGCTCAAAGTTGTTAGCTCTTTATTCTGAATGGTATGAAATGAATATTTTTGATCAATACAGTTTATCAAAGTACAAAGCTCATATTATATGAATGGGTGAAAACCAGAACGATGTAAGTGACATTTTATCAATTCTGAGAAAAGCGTGTTAATTCTAGCCTATATACTCAGTGGCAATATATTTTTGGGGTTTTAATGAACAATTAAACTGCCGTGATTTTAATGACGAAACGAAGCACCACGACTTTACAGTGATATTGACTTAAATAAAGAGATTTCTCAGAATTTATAAAATGTCACTAATACCGTTCTGGCTTTCACCAACTGATACGTGAAATTCATATAATGATTAAAACAGCTTCTCACATGTTATTGTTTTATTTATAAAGTATTTGAGATTAATCCTTTATAATAATAATTTTACTTTTTTCGTATTCGCAGTAATATAATAGAGAATGTAGGTAAATCCGCGAAAAATCGATTTCGTAATTCGAACGAAAATTAAAGTTTCCATATTCCCTAAACAAAAAAGTTATTTTCGTTTCCAAACCTGTGTCACCCTGCCCGTCTGTGAAGCAGTAACAGTCACTTCATAAGCACATAAACTATTCCTAGGATTTTTTTTCCAAAATGAATATTCGCGGTCCATCTGGCATGACTCGAAGTCCTGAAATTTTGAAAAGAATTCTTTTGAAATGAATATCCCCAGATTAGATGGCAAAATGTTCTCTAAAAACAAATGTCAAATGAGTAAATAAACAATAACTCTAACTTAAAAAAATAAGATTTCTAAAAGATTTCATAGCTCCCCTTCCACAATGCCACACCTCTACATCCGAAAACGTGATTCTTTAATTTTAATTTCTTTCATCGACTTAACTTATTTTTCCAAATAAAACCAATATAT